TTAACAAGCGACATGATTCAGAGAAATGATAATAGCACGCAAGCAAGAGATGAGTAATAATTGTCTTCATTCAATTTAAGAAAAATCTGAAATAAGGTTCATTTATAATAGAAAAACATGGTTCATTGTGCATAAACAAAAGGAAGGCCCCATCCAACAATTCTGGTGGTGATCCATATAATCAAAATCATAATAAGAATAGAACAATCAAGAGGGTGGACCCCTCATCTCAACGTTATGCAACGACCCTGCTTGCCCGAAGTAGTATGCCTTCCATTCTTTAGTTTTTCTGAGCAACTCTTTAGTCTCTTCACTATCTGGTTCTATTGCAAAGCTTTTAATCACTTCATCCTTCTGGTATAAATACTTCTGGAGATCCTGACACTGATCGAGTACCATACCGCATTCCTTACACTCATGGAGTGGAATCGGACCTGGAGCACTCTCCATACTTTTCACTTTGGTTTGAAGCTTCTCATTGTCAAAATTGACACCTTTGAGTTGTCTTTCCAGCTCTCTGATTCTTTCTTTATTTTCAGCATCCGCCTTTTGTAGCTTCACACATTCACAACACTTTCTTTCAGCGTCTTCAACTACCTCTTTGTAGTCTTCAGCAAGCAAAGTCGTTTCTTCATCTATACCAGGCCTTATTTTAGTTTTCCTACTTTCACAAGTCCCTTCAGCAAATGTTTTGAGCTTATGGATCATGTTCAACTTGTCAACCCAAGCCTCGTATAGCTTCATCTGTGAATCCCGCTCTTTTGACGAAGTTCTAAATTTTCGACCTGGACTTGATTGAACTCTTCTATAGGCACAGAATTAGTCAGAATGATGGGTGGTTGCTCATACATCAGAATCTCTTTCTTGAACGGCAATCTGATGGTCTTCTCTCTTTTCTTCACCCATTCCACATAAAGGAGCTTTGGCCACAATGACTTTCATACCTATGGATTCCCTGTTACTTTTATGGATCTTTTTCCAAGCATACTTTATTATTGACAATAATTTTGGATTAATCCCTTTTGCAAAATACATAGTCTGTGCAATCTCTGAATCTTCAGGTTGGTCATTCATGACATACCGTAACTGCCGGAAAGCCAAGGCAAGATTATAACTGATGCAACCTCGAGTACCCATGAGAGAAACATTGGGGAATTCCCCACATCTGGTAGTAATGTGTGGACCTTTGCCAGAAATAAAATACCACTTAATGTCATGGGAAGTGAGTGCAATCATTCTCTTTGACCAGGGGAGAGAATTATTGGTATCAACGAATTGCCCCTTTGTAGGGAGGTGAAGCATAAGCCACCTATACAACATAGGTTGACATATATTGACTGGCCCTTTCTTCTTGTATCTCGATTGAATAATGTAATTTATGTCCTCTATAAATGTGGGTATCAGATTCTTATTCATGAAAACACATATAGAATCCAAGTCCACAAACTCCTTGTTGGACAAAAGAATTGTTCCATATATCATGACAGCAAATAGAGCATTAAAAGCGACCCAATTTCCTCTTTCGGCCACTTCCCGGGATTTTCAATCTAGGAATGCTAAAGTGAAACCATAGACATCGTCATTAAACTCCCAATTATCTTTCACTTCTCTTACTCTCAAATAAAGAGCACCAGCAATAAGTTCTTCTCTGATTTTCTCAGGTGCACAAACAAAAGGCACACGACTGTTCACCTTCAAATTCAGGAGATAATCATATTCCTCCAGGGTGGGAGCCAACTGATAATCCTGAAAAGTAAAGCATCTCAAGTCTGGATCATAGAATTGGAGGAGAGTCACTAAGGCCATCTGATCAATGGCGTCAAGCAACCATAACAAATTGCCATAACTTCTGACAAACCTCTTCAGATTATCACCGTCTAAGAAAATTTTCAACCCCTTCAGTGAGGACAAGTCAATCTTAGGAAAATGGTAATCGTGAGTATGCATGGGGACTTCTGGACTGATATTAGTGTTATTATCCATCTCTGGGAAGGACACGACTCTAGAAATACCCTGGAACAGACAATGCAAATGCAAGTTAGATAAATGCATTATTTTTTCACACTTTTTTTTTTAAAAATAAATATGCCATGATGCAATAGGACGGGATCAAGGCTTCCAGTGCTGAATAATCTGCTGAACTACCAAAAATAAACGGCCAACATGATGGGGGAATACTTCGAAACATAACCGGGAGAACAATAAGTCACCAACAGTGTCAAGTCACCATCAGAAATATATAGTCACCATCAGTATCAAGTCACCAATAATACATGTGATAATAATTCCCTCCCTGCTCACAGATAAATCTAAGGTCAAGGTAAGGTAATGGTTAGTCGGGGTTATAGGTTCTCTTGAAAATGTTATCGTCGTACAACATACGTGATGATGACAGCATCCCCATTTGAATCCTATCCTGACTATGGCTCTCATGATCGATTAGGTAGAGCATATCGTCTACCAATCATCACGACTCTCCACTCTATCTTAGGGTGTCCTATGGTTGTCACTCGGCTTGTGTATTGGGCCTTTTACCTCTTGTAACACCCACCCACAGAGAAACAGCAGAGCATCCAGAAGTATATGGAAAGTGATAAAATACATGCACAAACATATGCAAGCAGTATATATATAAAGCTGGAAATAACTCGAAGTAAATAAACACCAAAAGCTGTAAAAAAACAAAAGTTAGGATCGACTTCGGGATGGACTACCAATTGGTCAACTTGTCCTCAGTGAAGTCGCCAGCTGAAACAACTGGCCGAACATCGATTGATAGAATCTATCTATCAATGAAATCGCCATCAAACATTTTTTATCCCATGGGAAGGGAAAGATGAACATCGAGAAAATCTAAGGGGGTAAAATCATGGTCTTGCGACCGAGAGATCGGATAAGGAAGTCGATTACGCAAGGGGAAGGTGTTAGCACCCCTCACGCCCCTGGTACTTCATGGTATCCACTCTTGTTTGCTACTTCTAAGGGTGTGTTTAAGCTATCTATGGTTAAAAAGAGAAAGAAAAAATGCATGAAAAAGAAATGCAGAGAAAAGAAAGAAGTATTTACAATTATGCTCGGTTAGGCTCCACAATCTCATGTCTACGTATCCCTTTCGAGGAATCAGAGCGTCGTAGTTCAGATCACATGTTTCTGTTTGTTTGTATTTTTTAATGGGAACAATGTCAAGTTCGCATTCTACTTGCAGCTCGACCTTTGAAGACTCACGTATCTGAAGTAGAAAGGAATTAACATGCTCAAAAAATATCCAAAGGCGAATGATGCTATATTCGCGACTCTTGCAAGTAGACATGGTGCAACTCAACCTTTGGGGAATTACGCGTCGTATTGCAGAAAGGGGGAAAATAACATATCCATTTTGAAATTGAAAAGCCAAAAGGTAGGAAAAGAGTTTGAATTTGTTTGTGTATTTTACTTTTGCGAAAGGGTTTTTGTTTTGTAAATGTGTTTTGTATTTTGTCAAGAAAATAGTTTTAGTTTTAATGTGTATGCCAAAGGGGAAGAAAAATAGGTCTAAGGGAAACTAACTTAGTTTCTAAGCCTAATGTTATATCATACAAAGATGGTCTTAGAGGTTGGATTAAGGTTTTCTATGAACAAACTCATTCGAGAATGAACCGTCCTAATTGCTACTCAAAATGCACTCATATCGAGAGTAAATCGAAGATCCTAAGAGAGCACATCACAAATGGTAAAAGAAGATATGGTATATACAATGGAATAAATGCATATGAAAATGAATCGGGTAACACCCACTTGAAACGAACTCATATCGAAAATCGAACCAAAACCAAAGCCTCTGAGGAACACCCCATCCAGAAGCAAACCATGTGAATATAATCTGAAATATCTCTTCTTTTTATGATTCTTTAAGCAAGACGTAAAGTAAAATAGAACAAACTCATACCGAGAGTGAACCAAACCATAACCTCTAAGGAACACTCCATACAAAAAGTGAACCAGGCGCACAACAGTCTATATCTTTTTTTGTATTTTCTTGTCAAAATAGTAAAACAATAATGTAAAAGGACCACACTCATTCGAGCATGAACCGATCGAATCCACTTAGAACAAATTCATATCGAGAATGAATCCAAGATCAAACTGTCCAAATATCGAACTCATACTGAGAACGAAACAAACTGTACAAGAAAGTAAGCACACGTGCGAAATTTCCTATTAAAAATAGGACTTTAAACAATCACAATTAGCATACAGAAAGCAGTGTCTGCTACAGAATTTTAAACAACGACTCCTACTTTACATGATCTCTAGAAAGGGATAAATACAATATTATAAAAATTGGCCCGAAACCATACCAAACGCATAACAAATGCGTAATAACAAGCTCAAGAGTGTAAGAAACGCAGAATGCGCCGCAAGCTAGCATCAACAACAAGCAAGCAATGTCAGAATAGAATGAAGAACGGGTGCAAGCAATGAGCGTATCCGCCACCAAATAATGCTCAAGCGTTTGGTATCCAAATTGACTTCCAAAAATATGCACAATCTCATAAAAGTGGTTAATGCATAACAATAAAAATCAAGTGCAACATTGACCATTAGCAATATGTATCAAAAATGAATTATGAATATGTACAACGCAAAATAAGCAAGTTACATAAGCATAGTTTAGCAATCCCGGACAACAACTTGTTAGCACATGAAAGTGCGTGAACAATCACTTTAAAAAGGAGAAAAACAAGTTCTAATATCAAGCACTTACATGTTTTGACCCAATGATGCACAAGGTGAGAATTGAAACACGTGAGAGGTGTAAAAATGCTTTTCGGGACAGCATTGGGACAGCATTGTAATCACTTTGAAAATGTGCCAACAATTGAGTCAAAATGCATAATTCTTGATATTGGAATCAAATGGATGTATCAACAAGCACAGGTGATCATAAGATGAAAATGGAATCATGTTTTAGCAACAAATTTAATGTTCCAGGAAGCAGTAACACACTCGTGTAAACAAGCCTAGAAAATGGCTAAAAATGCACAAAACGAGTTACCGGTAGCAACAAATGGCAAAGTTATGCACAACGGTATAAATCTCATGAAACAAAATCCAATGTACATGTAAAAATGCAAGTAATGGACAACACTAAAAATGCAAGTAATGGACAACACTAAACACATTTTAATATCTATCATGAATCGATTTGAAAACCAACGTTTTGGTACATTAAACTTGAATATCAATATGAGCATTAAACTTGAATATCAATATGAGCATTAAACTTGAATATCAATATGAGATAATTTGTCCATAACTTGCACATGAAAAAGTAACCTCAAAGTTGGTATGGAAAGCAAGGAATAAAGTCCTAAAACTCATAAATTTAATGCATTAGAATTTAATCACAATTTTCAAACTAATTCCAATTCATGAGTTTATGCATTTTTGTCAAAAGTGTGATAATTGGAATCAATTCACCACTTGTGAAACTCAAAATTTTGTATCAAAAAGCATTCCAATGCACTAAATTCACAAGGTTCTCAAAAAATCAAATTGAAATTAATTGATGTTAATTGTTATTAAGACATTAAAGAAGCTCTTAACATCAACTCTCAACTCATGATATTATGTTAACAACACTTTTCTTCAATTAAGTTGCAAATTCAAGATTCAACACAATTTCATGAGTTAATTATACAATGCCGAGTTTCTTCAACATTTTGATTTCAATTATTCAATCAATACACAATTAGGAATTTTAATTCTAACCTAAGTTCTAATATCAACCTAAATTCCTAATTCAATTCTTGAATTCGACCTAATTCTAAGGTATCACCTCCTATTATGTCCAAAGCACTTAAACAAAAGCAATTATCTAAATAAGCACTTATATTGCAAGAAGTATGAAGTTAGCGAGTTGATGCGAAGTGGAGTTTGATGAAGATAATGTCGATCAGAGCTGATCGGAGGGATGCTTTCGCTAGAATACGCGAAGAGGCGGAGGGAGAGGCTGCGGAGAAGGGGCGCGAAGGACGGAGGGAGTCCGTGAGCGGCCGAAAACGGAAATTGGTGGGAGGCGAAGGGGTCGCGGCCGATCGGCCGTGGAGCAAGGCAGAAGTCGGTTCGCTTGGCCGGAGGAAATAGTGAGGTGGCTGTTCGCGGAGGAGGGAGGAGGTTTTTGGTGGTTAAAGCCTCTTGGAAGGGAGTTTGTTATATTTGATTTTGTGAGAAACTTCTTGAAGAAGATGAGAGAAAAAGAGAGAGGAAAATATAGAGAGAGAATGAAATTTAAGAAATTAATGTGTTGTTATGATTTTGTGAAGAAAAATTTAGTATATAGTGTCACATTTGGGCCTCAAAATTGGGCTTAAGAGCTAGGCCCAACTTATCTGTATCAGTTAAAAAACAATTCAATTTTGTGAAATAATATTCGGCATTCAAGATTTTCGGCGTGTCGCATTCACTATGAGCAAAAAACAAAGAGCATTTGGATACCGTTCAAACTTGAAACCTTCTTTAAAAATATAGCCAACTCAATTTTTGAAATTTTGGCGCCAGACCCGTTGCGATACGGTAAAAATCGACTGAGTTATGAAATTTTGAAGTTCATAAATCAATTCGACTAAATTCCGGTTCAGCTCAAATATCTCTTCAGAAACTCGAAATTTCCACCACTTTTCTTGTAGAATTAGCTCTTGGCCATAAAATACGACATCAGGAGGACATTGAGACAAAATTTTCAGCACCAGAATCACACTCATACGGTACTCCATCCGGGAGTTATGAATTTTTCAGTGCGCCTGAGACAACGGTTCAGCCAGTTTTTTATCTATATTTTTCCACTGTTTAACTCTGACAGATTCACATGTTTAGGGACCTTCCTTCGAGATTTAGCCTATGGCCCAAACACGAAAGTTGGAGAGGACATCGAGACAGATTCAATGGCGAAAGAACCACCTCGAGACGGTATACCAAATCAGAGTTATAAATTTTTGAATGCTAGAAATACCGTTGATCAGTATGTCGAAAACTCAGTAATAAAATTATTTGACCGTCTTCTGCATATAATTGGCTCCTTCCTAAACATAAAAAGTGAAGATAATATCCATACGGACCAGATGATTAAATGTTAGCTCAAAATAATACTCTGGCCTGGAGTTATACAATTTTGAAGTCTGCCACGCAGAAGCGGACTTTCAGCTTGAACAGTCCCGAATCAAACAAAATCTCTGGCTTCCCTCTACTACTCAAGACATGATAGAATACACGGGAATCAGACATGGTTAGAAGTCGTTCATTTACTGACTGGATTACTTGCATAAAGCTTTGAACGTCTTTGATAAACAGTCCATGCCTCGTAGAAATGCCTTGATCCCACGATGACAGGGCTAATGATATGCATGTATGTATATGATAATGAAACATAAGCCAGAGTGAAGAGGGTAAATTTTGGGATATAACAACAATACATCAAGATAAAGAGAAAAGATGATAAAACCTCGCATAAATATGACAAAACATCAAGCACATGCATCAAGTATGGATGACAAAACAACATTTAAAGATGAGATGATAAAACATCAAATAAGATTATAAAGCACCACTGATGAGAATGATAATACATCAAGCATACACAACATTCATACAAACAAGAGATGAAACTCATAAACACACTTGAAAAATGGATAAGAATAAGGAGAAAGCAAAGAGAAGCAATCAAGGAAGCATGGCCTAAAAGCATATCAAAGTGAGGTGTTAGTTTTGATCCTAACATGATATCAACCTTGAACTACCCTAAGCATGGCAACTTGGGTTAAAAAGATGAATAAATTGTCTAACTAGACAAGAAGAGGTAAAAACAAGCATTTAGAAGATAAAACTTCACATAATGACAAAACATACAAACAAGGATGAGACCACGACATAGAATCAAGGTGATATGAAGATATCCCTAAAGGTCATGCATAAGAGGTTTGTGGTCTAAAGGTCACATAAAATTGCAACAAGGCAAATACGCAAGCATAAAAGTAATTATGTGTTAAGTGCTTAACCAAACATGGTATAAGAAGGTGTAGTGAGATGATATAGATGAATAAGTATACAAGTTAGAAGTGAAAATTTAAAGAATTCATCACCAACATACAAACATGCTAGAGAAAGATTTACAATTAAATCACACAATGAAAGTTTGTTGAAAAACTCTAAGTGGACACAAGTTCTCATGTAATGCTAACAAGCAATCATGTGAGAGGAAAAAAGTAGTGTGAAGAAGTTAAAGTAGACATAGACATGTTATACACTCAACACATACCCAAATATCAAAATAAAACTCAATTGATCAATAAGATCATGGTACAAACACCAAAACACACAAACTAGGTCAAAACAAAGTTGTGGAGTGAGGTGGTAACAATTATGTGATCAAGTCATGACATAATGTGATAAAAATTTGTGAAGTAAGAAGCAAACATACAATGATAACATAATTCAAAGGTTTACAGACCCCTAAGGTAGCTCTACCTAATCATTCCTACAAGTTAGTGCAAGAAAAGATCAACAAACATATCCCTAAAGTGACCTTAAAGACAAAAGAAGTAAAAAAGGGGATATAAGAAGAGGGATTAGGGTTATGAGTATTTTAGATATAAAATTCAGTAGTATATACCTACTATTACCATATATCCACACATCACAAACATGGAAGAAAATTGTACATGAAACATGCAAGAGATGCAATCAAGAAAGAGACAACATTTAGCAAGTTTAAATTGAAAGAGTAAAAATCAAACAAAGATATCATAATTTAAGAATTATGAAATGTGTTACTTGTATTATATGTTAACTCAAGATGAGATTCAAAAGTAACTAAGTAAAAAGATGAAACTTCATACACAAGCAAAGTCACCTAATTGATGAACAAAATCATCTAAAAGAAGAAAAGGCATTTGTCTTAAATCAAATGAGATTGGTGAAGGTCAAATGATAATAACATAGTATATTATATGTCCTAGGGTGATGATAAAGCCTTCATAATATACTAATCATGGACTTAAAACCTCGAGAGATGTCAACAAGATAACATACTTAGGTGTCACGATACATTGATAAAGTATAGCCCCATAATACATAAAAGCAAAGTGATTTAAATAAATCAAAGTAAATAGAGGGGTTGTCATGGTGGGTCAAAATCAAGATGCTGATGCAGTCGTTCATAGAATTCGAAACGATAACATCTTGGCAGAAAATAACTTAACCACCATGATAGAGAGAATCATGGCCCAGAATGGCCTCAACACAGGAATTAGAAGGCCAAATTATGCCTCCCCTATATTAGATTACATAATGCACACTGATTTACCAAGGGGATATAAAGTCCCTAATTTTACAAAGTTTGCTGGGGATACCAATGAATCAACAGTCGAACACATAGCCAGATATCTAACCGAAGCAGGAGATATAGCCAATAATGAAGACCTTAGGATCAAATATTTCCCAAGTTCCCTGACTAAGAACGCTTTCACATGGTTCACCACTTTACCTCCTGGGTCCATAGATACTTGGGCGCTGTTGGAGAGATTATTCCATGAACAGTTCTACATGGGACAATCTAAAATAAGTCTGAAGGAACTAGCCAGTGTAAAAAGGAAGTTTACTGAACCCATAGATGATTATCTGAATAGATTCAGGCTCTTGAAATCTAGATGTTTTACAGTAGTTCCTGAACATGAGTTAGTCGAAATGGCTGCTGGCGGCCTGGATTACTCTATTTGAAAGAAATTAGACACTCAATACTTGAGGGATATGGCTCAATTAGCCGATAGGGTTCGACAGGTCGAAAGGCTAAAAGCCGAAAAGGCCAGAGTTTTTAAAAATAACAAGAAAGAAAGGGTCTCCTATGTCGGAACTGAGGAAATAGAAGATTATCCTGAATTCGAATTCGAAGAGGTCGAAATCGACCTCGCTGAATTAAAACAGGCACCACCTTACTCCTGCAAATTATTAGTTCCCACAAAAGGGAAAGAAATTGTTGAAAATGAGAAAAGTGACAAATTCCCAAAGAAGGTTTATACCTTCGATGTAACTAAGTGTGACGAGATCTTTGATTTACTTGTCAAAGATGGCCAACTCATTGTGCCATCAAATGTCAAAATACCTCCTTTAGATCAAAGGAAGAAAAGAGGATTTTGCAAGTATCATAGTTTCCTAGGCCATAAAACCTCACAGTGTTTTCTTTTCAGGGACCTAATTCAGAATGCAATTAAAGATGGCAGACTGAAATTCGCTGATAAAGCAAAAATGAAAGTAGATGAAGATCCTTTGGATGTCGCAGACACCAATTACTCTGAGCCTGTATGCATTGGAGAAATTAACGTGGTGGAAGCTGATCAAAATGACGCTCCAGTAGGAGAGAAAGGTACTGAAAATGAAAGCTGGGTGTTAGTCGAAGTCAACAAGGGGGTCACTGAAGACGTCTACAAGCAACCAGAGACTTCGATCGAAGCAGCATCTTTAGCTGTTGCAAAAGAAATCCAGGCTACTGAAGGCCAGGAAAATCAAAAGCAAGAGTTGACACAGGTTACTAAAGGCCTGAGGCTAGAATTGGAGAAAGTCCAAATCACGAAGCCAACCTCCCCTCAGAAAGAAATATGGGATACTTTAGGGGAACCCAGTGGAAAGTTTGACTACTTGGTCAAATATTCTGCCCCAGAGAGTTCAAAAATCCAAATTGAAGATATAAAACCTACAGGATGGGGAGATGATGACACTAAGGGGGAGGATGTTGATGTAAACATGGTGGATATGGAGAGACCTCGCTCTGAAATGGAGGAGGTGGAGAGATACTTAGAGAAAGAAAAGTATAAAATGGAGGATAATCATGCTGGGGATGCTAGTCTTAAGGATTACCTCATGATGTTCCACGAAGGAGATACGGGAATGATACTATGCCCTAGGTGCAGCATCCTCTGCAACCAGAGAATTGCTGCAAACTTCGAGAGGGTACAAAGGGCACGAACTGGAAACAACTGGCGCCAGGATAACCAGTTATTCAGGTGTTATCCTAAAGCTGGAGAAAGTTTGTTGGAATTTTTGCTTCGCTGCTACAAAGGGGCAACCAAATGCTTGATATGCCCAAGGTGTTCCGCTGTGTATGATCAAAGCATGGCCAGAGCCTTCGAAAAAATCCCTTTCTCCCCTTGCTGGATCCACCAAGAGACTGTTCATATGGGCCCACGTTTCGATAGCAAATACAATCAACGAAGGCCTGATAGTCCTCATCCCAAGGGCGCTCGAAGAGTGACGTTCAA